AAAAAATTAATTTCGTCGACATGGAAAAAAATATAAATTCGAGTACAAGTTTACGGTCGCCCAGTTATTAAACTAGATTTTGCACTCCAAAAAATATGATAATTACTAATTTAATAAATTACCGGAATTGGTGAACAGAGACATATCACGCACAACCGAGCATCGCTGCACAAGCGATGCGTAGGAGAGAGCATATACCGCGGGCTAGCGGCGCCCTGAGCTCACAACAAGCAGGTTCTGGCGAGCGTGGGCATCGCCGACGTTGCTTTAAGTTTCCCTCCCAAAATACTGAGCTGCTCGAAATTTGAGTTTGAAATGACTGTTTTGTGTCGTCGGATGTCTGGCTCTCTTCATGACCTGATAGGTGATTGACTGATGACGACGCCGTAATTATTGAGCCTCTTTCCTTCAATGCCTGCAACGGAGCGAGCTTCACAGTCCGACGAACCTAAAGAGCTGGCTGAACCAAATAGGCGACGTCGAGGTTGCTGAAGTTTCATAGCACCTCATACAATCTAACAAATACGAGAAGAAAAGCGTTAGTCAGAAAGTTCCTATAATACAACATTGGCATTTGCCTCGCGATTAGGTATGAATATGCGAAAATCTGCTTATAAAATTGCATTATTTCTCGATCTCGTCAAGTCCGAGTGTTTGATCCAAATCAGTTTGTTCCGAATGAAGAATCAAATGTAAATCATTTCGCTACAAAAGAAGTCATTAAATAATTATACATCAATTGTTTTTCTCAGCTAAACGAGTTTCAGCAGCTGCACGTGTTGGCGTTATTGAAACTCGTCCGCAAAATGTCGTTTCAGTATGCACAGAAACTTGCTGCTTGCTGAGCCTCAAATATGATTACCAATGCCGAAAATTTTTTAAAGTAACCAGAATAATACCAATGACCAAAAATGATGACTCATACCCTATTTTCATGTCTATTAAGCCCGGATACATTCAAGTCAACGAAAAAATGCTTATTTGCCTCAAGCAACAAATTCATTATCCTGTCATATCAATATAAAAAATCTATTCGCGTTCCGGTGAAGGTTCGTTCCCTTTCTCAGTTCAATGGAGAAGCTCGCTGGAGAAAAATGCCCGGTGCAAATCGCCGGCGGATTTTAGGTGGCCGAAGAACGGCTCCCCGCCCGGCTCTCATTTTTGGCACAGAAGGCAATTTTGATTACGGAAAACGATCAAGAATGTGCAGGGAGACGAACGCGCTGATCGAATCGGACGCGATAGCCCGAGAAGGATGGCCTGTCGAGCCATCGCATCACACGAAGAAGCTGTAACGGTCGTGACGGGCAGACGGGCCTTTGTCCGAAGATCCGTGGCAGCTGAACTGGGTCGTAACGGCCGAACGGGTCTTTGTCCGAGGATTCACGGCAGCTTTAACAAGTCATAGAGTGTAGACGAGAAATTGATGAGGAGGTGGGCGATGACCCATGATTTTCGTAGACGACCGTTGTTAAAAGTTTTTTGCACCACCGATCGGGCAAATAATCTGCTATCGATGCTAAGAAACAACCTTATACGACAAGCTTTAAATGAGTCATTTTATCATATGATGTTTTATTTATTGATGCTGGACATTTTATAAAGTTAAAATCATCGAAGGAGGAACATCCAAATATATTTTTTCTTTCAGTAAAAAATTTATAATGCGTAGCCAAGGGCTATCTACACATGTCAGATTTGACAGCAATAAATACATAAAAAAAGAAGAAACCATACGCATACAGTGGCTTGTTGTTTTTAACTGGGTTTGTTATTGAGGATCAGACATCGTTCCAGTATTTTTATTTTTCAGAGTTCACGAGCAGGTTTTTACTGACACGGAAGAAAGCAAGAGGGGAAACTGCGACTCGCGCAGCGAAGCGTCGACGTTGGTGGCCTAAAGCAAAAAAAAAGAATTTTTATAACGAAGAAAACAATACACTTACGCGAGCATTTACGCTTTCTCGATCTGCGATAAACGCTATGCAGTGAAATGATGGAGTGAATATAATGCAAATGTGGGATGATAATGGGAAACGCCTTCATTGTAGAGATAAATTTTTGTAGCAGCTTTGAAATGAGCGATAGGCCCAAAAAAATGAAGCAAATTACGTTTAAATTTAAATAACTTGTTTTAAAGTGTGATATTCGTGTTTTTTATATGTTAAGTAGTCTGATAGATCTCCAGGACTCCAGCTGTTACAGTGTCATGACACTAAATATATTCTTGTCTTAAAAAAGTATGTATAAATCACATGAAAATATTAATGATCCTTACCACGAAATAAAGTAGGGTACTCAGAGTTACTGCGAAAGACCGGTCAATAACCGATGATTTTTGTAGGGTTTTATTTTAGTTTGGTTTGGGGACTTGACGAGTGATTTTAGACCAACCAGATTTTACCTAATGTTGATATATAAACCTGCAGAAAACGAAATAACGGCAGCATTAGGAGCACTTCCCCCATGAAAAAATGCAGATGGAGAAATAATTGCAGAAAACGAATTAAATGCCACATTCAACATGCTTGCGGCATGCACGCAGATTGCAACTTGTACTGAGGAACAAAATCGAATGAAACGAACTTCGAGTCTTAAGGAGGAGCTGCAGGTAGAGCGAGGCTCTGTCTTAAGATGTCGAGACGAGCCTCGCCGGCTCTCACCTTATGCTGGTCTTAAGGGGTTGAGACGAGTCTCGTAAGGCCCTACGGTGAGGCTCGTCTCGGTGGCTTGAGACGAGCCTCGTAGGGCCTTCCGCTGAGGCTCATCTTTGTGGCTTGAGACGAGTCTCGTAACTTCAGTGAGGCTCGTCTCAGTGGCTTGAGACGAGCCTCGCAGGGTCTCCCGTTGAGGCTCATCTCAGAAGCTTGAGACGAGTCTCGGAAGACCCTCCGGAGAGGCCACTTTGCTGTTCCTTTGGCGGAGCCTTGGGCCACGACACTGCAGCGCTAGACAGCCGTAATTACAGCTGCTGTAATTTGCAGCGACTGCAACACTGGACTGATGCACAGCTGTAGCGACTGTAATTACGGCACATGCAACTGCAGTACTCGACTGAAATACAGTCAAGTTGCCGATTGAGGCAATCACACCCCGAGAACAACGGCCACTGTAGAGGCTGCATAACCACGCATGATTCTGCTGCTTTTTTAAATGAGTAGCAGGCGTAAAGTTGGATACATTTTGCAAATAAATATTCTATGTAATATGACCTATTAATCTTTTTTACACATTAATATCATTGTTCATTAACATACTAATTCAAATTTACAATAAATGAAGAGACCGTTATGTCTATGAAAATCGATATAATAACTTCTCATCCCGGACGGGCGGATTCAGTTCATAACTTGACTTATAATCCACAGATGAACTGAAGATGATTTCCAAGTCATAAGCTTGATGGTCGCCTTCCGACCCAAGATCCATTCTGAGGTCAGGTCGCTAACACAACACTCTACAACCTCGCGTAAAAGGCGGCATGCTACAAGCTGTTATTTGACGCAATTTAAACGGAGTGTCAATCCGAACCTTCAATTGCAACGCCAGAAAACTTGCGAGCTCAATTTGCGAACATTTTTCCAGGACTGTCCAGCGGACACGATGGACTGAGTGGCAGTTTGCGACGCGGAACGAGTGCTGGAACTGCAGACGCAGCCGTGACGAACGCTGTGAGATGTTGTCAGCTTCCGCTGTCTGTGTCAACAACTGGCGGCAAGCGCGTAAAATTATGAGAAAATACTGTTTAAAGTCCTTCATGGACTCTGATCCGACGGTTGTAGGATAAGCTTCAGGGATTCTCAATAATTTAGCAGTCAACTAAAACGGACTTTGGGTGGAGACAGAATGAGCGTCAACACGCATGTTTGCTTTATCAGAATTTGATCAATATTTACAATGCAAAGAATGAAAAAATACAATTGAAAGCTTTAGTGGCTAGTATCTCAACCGCATCTGAACAAGAAGAAAGTTTCACACGCTCACATATAGCGCTCAATTGTTGGGCTTATGTCTCAGCCGTTTATATACACGTTAATCTTCAAGATAGTAATTCAGGGCGCGATATACGAGTGCTTTAACAACTCGAGCTTCCGGCGACATTAGGAGTGGCAACCGGATTACTTTAAATATCCTCTAGCGACACGCCATTCTTATGATTATAACGACACCCGACGCAGGCGCTGCTGCAGGCGCAGTGGCGCTATTGAGGAAGTGACTTGATGGGCGGGTGTAAGGAGCAGGCGAGGCAAGGCAAGGCTTTACTGAATACAGAAAATGATACAAAATTAGTAGGGATGGATGTTTAGGAAGTGGGGAAATTATTGTACGAAATTAAGATCTTGATAGAACAAAAATTGCAGTATTCGCTGCAAAAAAATTACAAATTAGGCCCTCATTATGAAATTTACCTATTAAATGCAATCGATAGCAAAAATAGAGATAAAAATATTTGATAGTTCTTGGTATCTCTTGTGAAAACATTTAAAACCCATTTTCGATTGAATTTGTCGGTGAATATTGTTTATATTGTTGATAAACGATTGACAACAGTATCAATAATGGCCCATTTACGCATTGAGTATCACTCAGAAGCACCGGGAGTGAATATCTGAAGTGAATATATACAAAATATAAGCAAAACATTCGCAGGCATCATGATACACATTGGAAAACAACATGAGGCATTGTCTGGTCAAAAGTAAGTATGATGCGCAACCAACACAAAGAACATCACTCAACATCAAAAGAAAGTATGATGCGCAATGAAGAAAAAAACATGACTCAACATCAAAAGTAGGTATGATTCGCAGCCGACAAAAATAACACCACTATACATCAAAAGTAGTAAGTATGGTTCGCAGCCAACAAAAAGAACACCACTCAACATCAAAAGTAAATGTAGTGCGCGGCCAGCACAAAGTACACCAATCAACATCAAAAGTAAGTATGATGAGCAGCCAAAAAAATTACACCACTCAACAAGTAAAGTGAGTACTCACCATCGGTGGCCATGACGGCGAGCATCTCGCCCCCGCGAGCCTCGAAGCTGATGCCGTCGAGCAGATGCGACCGGTCCTTGGAGCTCCTGTTGTCGTAGACGAGGCCTCGGACCTGCACGTGTGGCCCCTTGGTGCCCACGAGGCCGTTGCTGATGTTGCCCGGCCCGATGGTGCCAGAGATGCCCACGCCATCTTCGTTCCAGACCGCGTCACGAGGGAAGAGCTTGTCGTTGAGCATTGGGGGCTCCCGGTACACGCCTCCTTCGGGAGGCTGGAGGCGAGAGAGAGACGTGTAGTAGGGGGAAGTGGGAGGGTTCATGGGTGGGGCAGGTAGTCTTGGGGAGGCTCTATGCTCGGGCATGACTGGGAAAGACAAGCGGGGTTGAGACTCGGGTAAAACCTGCGCGTCGATATCATGCAGGTCAGGGTAGGAGATCGACGTGAGAGGGTAGGTCAGTTGGTTGAATTTAGGGCAGGATGCAGAGAGCTGTGGGTTCATCACGGAATGCTGGAACTGGAGGTTTCTTTGGTAAGGTGTCTGATGGTGATGACTGGGCACCTGGAACGAGGCAGAGTGGTGGAGACGTGTTGCCTGAGGAGCTTGTAGCGAGGAATGAAGGTATTGCTGAGACCCTGTAAACGCTCGCAGTGCCTGGTGATGACTTGAGGAGAACTGCTGTGGTTGGAGATACTCGTGTGTCTGAAGGTATTGTGGAGAGTCCGGATGCAGTTGTAGCGATAATGGCTGCTTGTATTGCACCATCTGAGAATAGTTTGGCCTGCTGTAGCTACTGATACCATAATGCGATGGCTGAACGAGCATAGAAGAGGAGTGTTGCAAAGTCTGAGCTCTAGGAACCTTTGAGGTCCTCTTAGGCATTGGCTGCTGGGAATAGGACTGCTGAGAATGAGAACTGCTGAAGGATGAGGAGGCGAGAAGAGGCTGGGTCTGCACTGAGTATCCGCCATTGTGGACTTTGGTGCTCACGAGTCTGGGGAGCGTGTAGCCGTCAGGGAGGGAGGGCAAGACACTGCCATTACCGTGGACATCGCTGCCATCTCGGGCCAAACGCCTTCGCCTCACGCGCTGCTTCAGCTGGGCCATGTTGTGATAGTCACTGAGGCCCCCAGCGTAGTGGCCGTATGGCAGACCGTGGGCGTATGAGGCACTGCGGTGCAGCTGCGTCACGCCACGCGCGCCGGTACTGGTGGTGCCGGGCACAGCAAACGATGCCGTGCGCAGTGGAGGAGCCGCCGCGGAGCCGCCGACGCAGCGGCTACTGCTGCGCTGCAGCGACGACCGCATCCTAGGACGCCGCTCCACCATCACTGAGCGGCCTATGCCTACTGTACACTTTACCTTCACACGTTCGCTGTGAGATTGTTGCAGTAGAGCTTGTTATAAAAAAATATTTGACCAAGAAAACTAGATTTTTTCTGCAAAATGTAAACTTTTTATTCGTATAAAAAAATCCATAACAATGACATTTAATCAACAATACGTTTTCGAATGAAGTGTCACTAAGTTATATCGTGTGATCATAGCATGAACTTGAATTTATTTCGAGATAAAATTGCCTATTTCTGCCGAATAGGCTTTAATAATAATAATAATCTATTAAAATAATATGACTGTTATAATAATCACAGCAAGTCTACTACCTCGCGTCCCGCATCATCTGATATGCTTCCTAGCACAAGGGACGAGGGGTCAATATACTCAACAAACGCTATGAAGAAAATCGTTTCAATCCGAAAATTTTAATTCTTAGTCGGAATCACAATGCCCAAAATGTGTCGTTATTTGGACTGTTGAGAGGAAGCTGTACTTTGAATTATCTTTAGAAGCAACGACCAACTAAAGCTGGTCAAATATAATCAAGAGATCCAGCCAATCAATATGAAAATAAATAATAATTATGCTGGGCCATTAGTCTAAATGAGGAGCATGAAATGTATGGAAATTTGTGGCAAGTTTGTGTGTTACGCGACAGCAAAATTACTTGGCATTTTTAAAATATAGTACTCAATGGGATCTAGAGGCCGAATTTTCAAAACCAACGATGACGTCGTGATCTAAACTGCTATTTACAGACGATATTTTTACGAAGTCCATCAAACACAAAACATGATCCGAATATTATACCTCAGCTCACAATTATTATAATATTATTATTGTACATAATACAATTTTCTACGCTCCGAAACTTAGTGCAGCGCACGACTATAAGGGCGATGAAGTTCATTAATGAAATTAGCTTACTACTCATTTCTGATTCGTTGAAATTTCACTTCAATAGTGCTCATGATAGCGAACTTTTAATATCACATGGCAGATTTCTTCAGTAATCAAAATAGCTTTACACGTAATTTAATTGCCTTAATTCATGTTGGGCTCATTTTCTCCTATGAATAGTTCGTGGAATCTAAATCATTTACATCGAACAGTCACAAAACCGAGGTCCAGTTTCTGAGTTCAGAGGGCTACTTGTTAATGAGAGCGAGGCAAAACAATTACATGGACAACCTAGTGACCGCTCGAGGGTCAACACTGCGGCGGCAGATGGCCCAACAGACATCACTGGGACACTGAAGTTGCGGCCACCGACACATCCACATTCGACCGAGGCCGCCGGTACACTGAGGCCAGAGTCGGCGCAGCAGACTTACAGGCTGTCAGCGCCACCGAGGCAGCTGAGCCGGCATCAGCGATGGCGCAAGGCATGGCGTGGCAGCCTCTGCGCCAGCAACTCGAAATCTGTGATCAGTTGGCTCGGCCTCGATCAGCCACCGATACACAGCCTTAAATAAATGTGCATTGTCTAGTCAGATTGCAGCGCCTCAAATAAATGTGCCTTGTCTAGTCAGATTGAAAAGCCTGATATAAATGTAACTTGGCCCCAGCCAGTAATACTTACTGAGCCGCAAATACCGACCTCAGATTTTTCTATTTTTACGATCAAATCAAATGAATTTGTACGAAAAATATACAGGGATTGAAAGCTCCTTCATTATATACTTCATGTACATTTGAACTTCAATTTAAGTTTAATATAAGATCTAATCTATTAATATTATTTGAGTTTTTGTGATTGAATTTGTAGGCATCATATATACATAGTACAAACATGGATATTTTCGACTTAACATTATGTCCATTAATGAATAAATGTTAATTTGTAAAACATTCATTCATGAAAACAACAATCGAGGGTGCATGAATGATGATGAAGAATATTTTACGGAATGTAAAGTTGACGTCCATGCTGTTCAGGATGTGCAGGAGCAGCCTGAGACCCGAATAAAGTGGGAGTGTGTGTAAATTGGAATTGTTCAACAATTATCAAAACGATCACACTTGCTCACAATGATGTGAACGAGGTTCTTTTGTGTCCATGATGTGAACGAGGTTTGTCGTTCCCATGAAGTGATTAAAGCTTGTTGTGTCCATGATATGATCGAGCCCTGTTGTGTCCAGGTATTATGTAAAACGTGGTTAGGTTTGAAGAACCATCAACCAAGTGTTTTCGGGAGCCACGATAGTTTCAAGCTCGGGGTGGACAAATCATTTGATTGCAGATTATGTGGTTGATTGACCAAGCTGGTTGGGAATTGTATACTTGGGTCCTTTGAGTCTGAATCAACCTAAAACTGTTGCTTTTGCATCATCTAAAACTGTTGCTAAAACTTGCTTTTGGGCTCTGGCAGGTTGGAAACCTGGATTGTTACATTTAAATGGAGAAGTATCTTTGCACAAAGTCTTAGTTGCCTCACTGATGCCCGAAGGAAGTGTGGTCGAATGATTAGAAAGGAAGATCAAAATCGAAAATTGAAAACCTTGGGATAACCGGAAGGATAGGGAATATTTAAATAAAAAATTATATTCCTCTCCTTGGAGGAACGACTTGTGGCCCTCACCACCGACTGCATTGACCACCAAAGACCGTCAAGATAACGACGTGAAGTCGTCTTGATTAACCATACCGGACACCACAAACTGCCTGGAAATTCGGACGTGTAGAGATTGCGAGCAACGCTGGCGCTGGTGAGAAGACAGCTCCATCGTTTCGCGCTCTAACGCCCCTGTCAAGACGTGCCATTCATATGGATCTCGTAGGCCAGTGTTCTCTTCACCAAGTGTACTGATCAAATCTTTAAATGGTACTCTGGAAGACACTTTGATTTGGTACATAAAGTAGTTTAGTAAGTACCATTAATTGCATAGTATATTTGAGAAATGTTTTAGTATATTTGAGAATAGTATATTTGATAAATGTCGCGTATAGGTAGAATGTTGTTGTGTTGCGGGGGAATTATAGTACTTCGGTCGAATACATTTGGGAATTTTGTGTGTGTTGTTTTAGACTTATTTACAATCATCACTAAGCAAAGAATGGTGGACTCCACCAGTCGGAAAACGCAAGCCATGTTCATTCATCACTAAGCTGTGTTCGGTGAAACATGTGATAACTAGGTTATTAATGTAGACTAGCTTTCCCACCTCAACATGACCAGCAGGCGAACCCATTAGCTTATTCCAGAACTATTCGAATTTTTCAAGGGCAGAATTTTGAGGCAAATTCCGAGATTCGTTCTCGATTCACAACGCACAGTCAACTGTAGCAAAGGTATTCATTCTCTACATCTACGATGTGAGCCCTGGTGATTGATCATCACTACATTTAATAAAGAATAATTGTTGTCTCCAATGTCGAGACAACTGCGACGTAGTCATCGAGGTATGAAATTGGTGACGTTGCCAAAGCATTCGTCACCGCGAGGAAATTTATGGGCGCATCCAGGATTTAGATTATAGGATCTATAAGGCATGGTAACACATAACGCAGACTAAGAATAACAAGGATCTTGAATACGATCTAGAGACACGGTAATGCATAACAAAGACTACATAGGCAAGTATCTAGTTCGCGATCTAGAGATATGATAACGTATAACAAAGACTGCTTATAACTAAATAAACTAGAATCCTATCTAGAGACAAAATGGCGTAGAGCGAAGACTATTTATAAGATTAACTAGGCTAGATCAAGATCTGGACATGATAACGCATCAAGAAGACCAAATAATACACATATGTTACTCAAGATCTAGTGACATTCTTAACAAAGTTTAGAAATAGATCTGCTTTCCTCCGAATGTTCAGGAGAATACAATAATAATTTGATCTGAAAAGGAGTCAGACAATATATGCAACGACATGAATACTACAATTTTTATATAATTATTAGCACAATAAATGTAATTCAAAGACACATCGTCAATTCATAGCCTATAATAATGACATAAATGAAGGCATTCAAAACCATAATTGTTGAGACCGCCCAGCATCGTGCCATGCAGTAACTGTGCAATAGTTGCAGGTAGAAACAATGGTCATTGTCAAAATAAATTTCCGACCTAATTTGTCAGCCTGTAGTTTAGAAACATTTAATAAATAGAATGCGCGCCGGAGGTTTTTGAAGTAGGTACCAGCAATACAGAGAACAGTGCAAGAAAATTTTGATTTCGATAATCGAGGTCGACGACACATTCATACGTGGTTAGCTGCTCTTCTTCCTAACATTGGCTTCAATTAACCTTTCTCCCACAACACGCACTAAGCATGATCTCACTGGTGTTTTTAATATTGCTCACTAAAAATGGCAACTATTTAGTCAATTAGTTGCGATATTTCATCAGCTCAGACACTATGCACTAGTGGCTCCTTGAAACAGAGGAGAGAAACAAGACAACTCGAACTGTTAGCGAATAAATGTGTTGTTAGCTTAAATAAATTAGTTATTCAGTCATTAAAATGCTAACGAAATCTCAAATTTGACGATATTTTAGAACATATTTGTGGCAGTATTTCAAGCAATGCTTGATGGCCAAAACAGAGGGCTCAGTAACTCAGCATCCTTCAAATTTTGTGGCCAAGTCCGGAGAAAATTGAAAATGACTGGCAGGCAAAAAAGCACAAGGATCTGAGATAAATTAGTAGTTTCTATCTGCCAGCATAACACTACACGGTAATATGATGATCACAATCCCGAACAAAACTAATACGATGCTCTAACCTGGTTAAAGATGGCGCCGTTCTGTCGTGAGCGTCGCGACTGTCGGGAGAGCAGCGACATCTGCGAGCCCGTAAGCTTGCTGCTGCGCCCCCCACGGCGGCGGCCGAACTCCGGCGCCGCAAGCAGGTTGGCTTCACTCGAACTCTGGGGCGGGCAGGAGGAAGGAGGGTTAAGGATGGCATTGAAGTGGTGGCAGCAAGCAAGCTTCACTCGAACTCTGTGGCGGGCAGGAGGAAGGAGTGTTAAGGGCGGTATTGAAGTGGCGCTAGCAGATTGGCTCTACAAACGGGCAGGAGGAAAAATGTCAGTCATATAGCGATGAACATAAACACGCAGAAATTAGAAGTTATGAAGCTACTAAAAGAAATTGTGACCAATTTTAGTATAAATTAAATTCCCAGCCATTTTAATCGTTTTGCATATTGAAGGAGTAAATCCAACTTGAATACTTTAACAAAATTTTAAATAACCAAGAACTAATTTGACGATTAAACATGAAAATGTAAATGACAATAATCTAAATTTAACTGTATCCAATATCACATAGTTTTTCATATTCATTGATGAATAAGTTTTATATTTCCAAACAATTGAGAGATGAGATGCAAAAAAAGTCTTCATAAAATGTTCTTAGGAAAATGAAATTGCTTCACATTTTGAAGAAATTCTGCAAAATGCTCAAATTTTCATTCTGAAGAGCGGTAGATGGTGAGACTATGTACGAAAGATGATTGGTGATCGGCACAGAAAGCATTACCTCCAACACGAATAAATTAAATATGATTTAAAATGATAGCTTGACCATTGAAGGGTTATGTTCGATAAAGATGCAGTGCTAGGAGGATGGTATCACGATAACTTCATGACATGTAAGTGCCAATATGATTGAGAGATGTTAAGTTAAAATAGCCTCAAAAGGACCATGTGTCACAGCCACACTGACCCCAATATGTAAAAAATAGGAGCGTGGTATACGTCGCGTGCTTGCTCGTCTATATTTGTATTGCAGTTAAATAGTGAATTTATTTATACATACAGGGTCATCGATATTTAGCGTTACATTTTTTTCAAAATCAATTGTTGATAATTGTCCTCGATATTTGTCATTTGTTTTACACCTTCTCATTAATCTTTATCATTATTTATCATTTATCATCTTTATTTATATCGACTAACTTATTATCTACGTTGAACGATTGGACTCGCCTGCTGGACGAAAGGGAGCCAGTGGATGCATTGTACCTCGATTTTGCCAAAGCATTTGACAGTGTTCCGCATGAGCGGCTGTTGCGTAAAGTGAAGTCCTTGGGGAGTGAGGGAAACGTACTCCAATGGATCAGAGATTTTCTAGTAGGTAGACGACAACGTGTCAGTATTAACGGAACCGTGTCAGACTGGGCATCAGTGCGCTGTGGCGTGCCACAAGGAAGCGTCCTGGGGCCTATTTTGTTCGTTGCTTTTATAAATGATCTGCCAGAAGTAGTGTCCAGCGTGTGCTCCATGTATGCCGACGACACAAAAGTTTATAATACAGTGAAGAATGTGTCAAATAAAGCGCAATTGCAAGATGATCTTGACAGCTTAGTTAACTGGGCTGATACGTGATAAGTACTTCACCTCGGGAAGAACAATGAACAGCAAGATTACAGTATGAGAAGACATGGTTGCAACGAGAGAGTAATGATTGAAAAGTCAAGTGTGGAAAAAGATCTCGGAGTTTATGTCGACAAGGAGCTGAAATTTTCTAAGCATGTTGAAACGCAAGCTAACACATCCAACAAACTTCTTGGACTAATCAGACGCTCATACGAGTTCCTAGATGCAGAAGCGATGAAGCAGTTGTTTGTTGCCGTCGTACGCCCGAGTCTAGAGTATGGAAACGTTGTGTGGTCACCGAGATTTGAAAAGGACAGAAATTTAATAGAGAATGTTCAAAGACGTGCAACAAGGATAATTCCAGGCTTGAAGGGCAAGTCCTATGAAGAAAGATTGAAGATTATGAAGCTTCCAAGCCTCAGTTATCGACGTCTGCGTGGGGACCTCATTGAAGTATACAAGTATACTCATGGTCTATACAAGGTCCCTGAAGGGTTACTAGAATTTGAAACAAGAACCAACACCAGGGGCCACGGCTATAAGCTAAAAAAATTGCGCTGCAACTTCTCCACGCGACAAAATTTTTTCTCGCTTCGAATCACCGACATGTGGAACAGCCTCCCCGATGACATCGTTGGAGCTCCAAGTATGAACGCGTTCAAGAACAGACTAGATAAAGCAATGGAAAAATATATGTTCAGATTTGAAATGCCTAGCTCCTTATCGAACCCGGTGGAAGTCTAGTAGCTTCTTCAAACTATCGCCAGTCATGAAAAGATCCGATCAAATGATACGAGTTTAGATCTATGAACAAGGCACGAAAAGGAAAAGAATCGGCGACAGGCCACATCAGGCCTACATTTCAGCGCCGACATCATTATGTTATGTTATGTTATGTTTATGGTGTCAAAAAAACACCAACTGTCTGCTCAAGTTGTTGAAAAACGCCTCCAAAGATCCAAGATTCTTCTTTCCCGCATTCATGATGGCACGCTGCCAAACCTCGTTTTCAGTCATGAGAAGATATCCAATGTTAAACACCACTTCAACTCCCAAAAAGGTCAAATTTGGTCGAAGAATGGGGACGAAGGATCCCGTGTGGTGGCTAGGAAGCAATGCCCGACCTCAGTGATGGTCTGGGCAGCCGTAACAGAGTCCTCAAGGAGTCTCCTATTTTTTGTTGACAAAGGGGTGAAATTGAATCAGAAGAACTATCGAGATGCCATATCCTTGTTGGTGCATTGTTGCCCTGGGCACGAAAGCACTTCAAAAAACGTCCCTGGTCGTTCCAGCAGGACTCTGCACCATCCCATGGGGCCAAATCGATTCAGGAGTGGCTGTCCGCGAATGTTCCCCACTTCATTACCAAATATGAATGGCTCCCATCGTCACCCGATCTGAATCCTCTGGATTTTGGGATCTGGTCATACCTTGAGAGCAAGGTCTCGACCATTCACCATCACAGTTTGGACGCCCTAAAGGTCAAACTGCTGAAGGAGTGGACCAAAATCCCGCAGAGTGTCATTCGTGACTCGTGTAAGGCTTTCTCTAAGCGTCAACAACTCGTTATTGATGCAGATGGTGGACATATTGAATGAAATTGTGGGAATTGTATCTCTGAACCTCTGCCTACATAATTACATTTTCAAACAGTCACAATTGTGTTTCATTTCATAGTTCTAACCACTCAAAGTTGTAACGCTAAATATTGATGACCCTGTACAGTGATAGTATAGTGGAAATTTTCTTATTTCATTAGTGAGAGTGACTGGATTGATCAGCTATAAGTGTGAGAAAGATCGCATTTACATCATAAATTATCTCCAGTCAACTGATGCCAAGAACTGACGGAACGTGGCACTAGAGGGTGTCAAATAAAATATAGGAGGCGTCCTCGACAAAATAACTTATTATATCTCTAAACTACAAATTGATCTGATCTAATTGTTTTATTAAAATGAAGCAAATTTCGGGGAATTTTATGTTTTTTCCTGTTCGTTCCTTTCTTGCAATGAGCAAAATAAGAAAGAACAGAAAAATTTCTCTTTGAGCAAATAGTTTTTCTATTTCTCTATATTCAATAAGAGGTTCAACCTAGTCACAAAACCTGGAATTATTCGAAAAAAATTACTGCATTGAGAAAAAATATAATTAAATTATGTTAATTTAATGGGAAAATACAATGAACTAGAATGTCAGTGACATTTTTGTTGGAATCCTTGTATACTGTAGTTGCTAGGATAGCAGAAGTTTTCGCAGCTTAGAGAGACGTAGAACATAGAAGATCGAAATAGATAAACAGCGACAAAAAAAAGTATAGATGAAGAGCAACAGAAAGTAATAAGAAATTGATGAAAAACAGAATTGAAGAAGGTTGTTTCCATAGAAAACTACGAGAGGAAGCTGCCTGCACGGTAGTATGTCAGCCGTCCGTAAACGAGTGTACGTATAATGGTTGGACAGTCGAGGAAGTCAGAAAATCTCAAATCAAGACTTAAATTTCGCAATAACGTTACAAAAATTTTGATGGATTAATTATTATTCAATTCTACTTGCATCATTCACACAATTATAAAAAGCCGTGCAAAATTGGGGATGCCAATTGTGGTGAACATGTCTACTGACGAAGGTGCGGGCGTGGGGGTGAAGACAGAAGACAACAAATCTTGGGTCTCCTGATGGGGGTGTGGATGTGGGGTGTGAGGACAACAAACCTTGGGTCTCCTGATGGGGGTGTGGATGTGTTGGGGGAAGAGGAGGACAACAAACCTTGGGTCTCCTGATGGGGGAGTGGATGTGTGGAGGGAAGAGGAGGACAACAAACCTTGGGTCTCCTGATGGGGGAGTGGATGTGTGGAGGGAAGAGGAGGACAACAAACCTTGGGTCTCCTGATGGGGGAGTGGATGTGTGGAGGGAAGAGGAGGACAACAAACCTTGGGTCTCCTGATGGGGGAGTGGATGTGTGGAGGGAAGAGGAGGACAACAAACCTTGGGTCTCCTGATGGGGGAGTGGATGTGTGGAGGCAGAGGGGAGCTCCAGTCCCTGGCATGGAGCAGGTCAGGATTGCTCTTGCTCCTGGTGTAGCGGTCGGCGCGCCCCAAGGAGCCCCGGCCTCCCCGCCTGTGTCCCCCGTCGTCGCTGGAGTCGTAGCCGCTGCTGGCCTCGCGCCCCTCGTTGGGGGGGAAGACGCGTGGAAGACCAAACTTGAGGTACGTGTACATGTTCGACCCCAGCTCGCTCTTGGGGGCGTATCTGGGGGCGGGGGCAGGGTTAAATGATGTTTGGGGAGTGGGGAGACACGGTTAATGTTTGGGGAGTGGGGAGACACGGTTATGATTCACTAGTTAGCATCTTCTTGCGCACAGGCGCTATTTGTGCAATCAGCCATGACACCAGCTTATGGCATGTATAAAACTAATCCGAGTATTTGGAACTATATAATATAACTAAGAACTATGCATATAACTAATCCCCCAGAGGTAAGCCAGAAGGGGAAGAAGCGCTGCCCCAGCACCTGGGGTTGTTGAGGATGGCCTGCACGGTGGCCTCCTTGAGGAGGAAGTTGCCGTAGGGCAGCGGCGTCTTGTCGCTGCTGCCCAGCGCTGAGTCCGTGAAGTCCGTGTTGAGGTTCTGGCGGTAGATGGACCACGCGTGCAGGTCCTCCGTCATGGTCGCCGGGTCTGGGGGCGTGCGGGAGAATTAGTGGGGTCTGGGGGAGTGCGGGAGGGTTAGTGGGGTCTGGTGGAGTGAAGGGTTAGTGGGGTCTGGGGGAGTGAGGGGGTTAGAGGGGTCTGGGGGTGTGACGGGTGTTGGTAGAAACTGAGGGATCGAGGGGGATAGTAGGGTCTAGGGGATTAAAGGAGGCTTAAAATAGGCCAAGAAGGCATGAAGGAAGATCTGAAAAATGTGTGTTGGCACAAGATGGCTTATGATGATCATGGCGCAGGATATGAACCTAGAGCTCCTGAAACGCTAGATCCTGGAGCATAAGGCGGTCATACTGGAAGCAAGGCCCTTAAACGCCGCATTCCAGGATTCAGAGCGCTAAAAAGGGCTTGGGGAAGTTCGGGGGGCAGGAAGGGCTTGAGGGATCTGAGGCACGAGGGGGCTTGGGGGTCAAAGGACATGATGATGTCCCAGAAGGCTGTGGGGACATTGTGAGGGCAAACATGGGACAGGAGAAGTGAGAGGGACTTTTGGGAGTGTGGGCGAATGATGGGGCTGTGGGGAGTCCGCAGTAAAAAGGGGTTTGGGGTTCTCTGAAAGCGAGATGGGGGAATGCGGGGGTCTAAGTAGGCCTAAAAACCTAAATAGGTTTTGGAAAACGAGAAGGTCAAAGGAGACTCATTGGCGTGAGGGGCATAGGGGGAGCTGAGAGTACAAAAAAGGGTGGTTGTTTGAATGAGACTTATGGCGGTTCTCGATGCACGAATGAGGATTTAGAGGTTTTAAATCAATAAAAGGACATGGAGGAACGCCAGGAGCTAGGCTGATATGCAGGTACGATAGGAGCTTAGGAGGTTCATGGAGGTCTAGGACGTACGGCGGCACAATAGGGGGCACACAAAGTCCGGGGCATGGTTGTGTCTTTTGGTCTGTAAAGGCCGTGAAGGTTTCGAAGCGCTATGGGGGGCTTTGTGGGGTTCTGGGGGCGAAATGAAGTCTTGGAGGATGAGGATTAGCTCAGGGAGGTTAGGAGGCTTGAGGGGAGTTTGAAATTTTGAGAGCGAGAGAACTTGAGGAGTCTAGAGGGTCAGGAACTCAGTAGTACGAGAGGAATTTAATACAAGTCTGGCAACGTGAAATGTCTATAAAAGTTAAGCGAATGTCCCGGTCAGTATTTTCGATTTTAAATAATTCAGCCAATACATACAGGGGATTCATATTTTGTCTCTATATTATTTTAACCCATTTTATTTAAAAAAAATCAAAGCTCTCTCCAGCCGTCTCTTGTCACTACCTCGATATAAAATAGGGAAATAATTCAAATAAAAGGCTGGAGCAAGCGATAAGATAAGGAACGTACGGAGTTGGTGGCGGGAGTGGCGGTGGTCGAGGACGGAGGAGTGCGGGATGCTGTAGCGCCGCGCCTCCCCTCCCCCCCACGCCTCACTGCTCATCCTGGGGGACATGAGAGAGAGTAGGTAAGGCAGGAGGCTAGTGATAACTAGTGTAGTGAAGTGATAACTAGTGTAGTGAAGTGATAACTAGTGTAGTGAAGTGGTAACTAGTGTAGTGAAGTGATAACTAGTGTAGTGAAGTGATAACTAGTGTAGTGAAGTGATAACTAGTGTCCACTGCATTGCAATAAGAGGCATCAAAATGAAATGATGATCATATTATTAGGGATAATATTTTTTTACTTTTAAAAATTACTGATCACTAATAGTAATTAAATTAAACTATGGTCAATAGTCATCGCGTCAACAATAACTGGTATAAAATCAGAATAAATGAAGACCATTAAATTGCTATAATATTTATTAAAAAAAGTGTTATTCATCTCAAATCTCATTCAAAGCAGCAATAACTCCATAAAGAAGTTTATATTCCTTTAGCAAGGGAGAATAAACTTCTCGTAAATAGCATGACTGATTTAATAAACTTGCATGTGACATCTGCCCAATGCTGCTATGTGCGGGCTCAACTTCTTGATTATCTTCAGCATCTCTGATCTGAACGCATAGTGCTGCACTATAGGGCATGGTGCTGCATGGTGCTGCATGGAGCATGCATGTTGCTGCATGGAGCATGCATGGTGCTGCATGGAGCATGCATGGTGCTGCATGGAGCATGCATGGTGCTGCATGGTGCTGCATGGAGCATGCATGGTGCTGCATGCATGGTGCTGCATGGTGCTGCATGGAGCATGCATGGTGCTGCATGGAGCATGCATGGTGCTGCATGGAGCATGCATGGTGCTGCATGGTGCTGCATGGAGCTGCATGGAGCATGCATGGTGCTGCATGGAACATGTATGGTGCTGCATGGAGCATGCATGGGGCTGAACAACTCATTATAATGAATGCAAGGTAACTAAGCGGCTGTGTTTACGACCAACGTGGATTGAATGTAGGAAGATTTTCCAAGCAATAATATGCAGAGAAGATAATTTCGATGGAACAGTCGTGCACGATCTTTTTTCGTGTTTTCATAAACGTTTAGTTTTTTAGTTCTATTCATTAGTATATGATACGGCATAGGATTACGAGATCAAGTCTGAATTTCTTATTGATTACAAGTACAAGTCCGTGGGTCACATATCTATCTCTAACATCTTTGGTTCACTGTCAGGATTGGCCGAAACGTTTTGCTCATAAATAAAGCATGCTTATCTACATCTTCACCTTCCAGACACAGCAATTGCGCTTCACACCAATAATGTAAACCACAACACCACCAAAACCGCCACCACCACCTCCGGTAACAAGGACGCGCGTGATGATGCCAATTTGCTTAGCTAAGCAACTCCACTCTTTGCTGCGCTGCGTGGGGGAGTTGCTCTCTGTGCTTAGGGGAGGAGTGCTGCTGCTGGGGGTGAAGGCAGTTGGTGCTCAGGGTGGTGACATGCAGTTGGTGTTGGGGGTGGTGGCAGTTGGTGCTCAGGGCGGTGGTAACTGGTAATTACATGAGTGTGTTGATGCTGGTGCTGGTTAATGGTGTTTTGATGCATAGCCGTGATTTTTAACTTACAGATCAATTGCAGCAGTATCGTGAGCGATCCTCTCCTGCTTGATTTGCTGTTTGTCCCCCGACCCCACGCATGGAGTATTAATTATTCGTCCTCGTACCTGTTTGTCCTCCTCCCCCACAAATGGAGTCCTATTTGTCCCCCATCCTGGCACAACATCTTGCGGCAGCGCAAAGTTCACTGAGAATTCAACTCAGAGTTCCATGCAGGTTTTTCTGTGGCGCGTTCTACTTCTATAGGTGCTTCTGCTGCGTGTACTGTTGGTTGCTTTGCCATTCCTGTTTATTCTGGCACTGCCCGTCCTTATTTGTTGTGCTACTGTACCTTTTTGACAGTTTTTGTTCTGACACTGCCGTTCCCGTTGGTTCTGGTACTGCTACCGTTAGTTCTGTTGGTGTTTTTGTTTGTTTCGGTGCTGTCCGTGTATGTTCCGGCACTGTGCCTGTTTGTTCCGGCACTGTCTCTGTCTATTTCGGTGCTGTCCCTGTTTGCTTCGGTGCTGTCCATATTTGCTTCGGTGCTGTCCCTGTTTGCTTCGGTGCTGTCCCTGTTTGCTTCGGTGCTGTCCCTGTTTGCTTCGGTGCTGTCCCTGTTTGCTTCGGTGCTGTCCATATTTGCTTCGGTGCTGTCCCTGTTTGCTTCGGTGCTGTCCATATTTGCTTCGGTGCTGTCCCTGTTTGCTTCGGTGCTGTCCCTATTTGCTTCGGTGCTGCCCCTATTTGCTTCGGTGCTGCCCCTATTTGCTTCGGTGCTGTCCCTATTTGCTTCGGTGCTGTCCCTATTTGCTTCGGTGCTGCCCCTATTTGCTTCGGTGCTGTCCCTGTTTGCTTCGGTGCTGTCCCTGTTTGTGCCGGCAAAGTTCCGCCTCTACTCGTGCGTGTTCCACGGCAGCAACTGCAGCTGCGGCGGTGAACGACCTCACGCAGGCCGCGTACGGCAACGATGCGACCCACGGGCTATCGTGGTGAGGCTTCCGGGCGGGGATATGGCGACCACGCAGCCGCTGCGTGCGGGGATATGGCGACCACGCAGCCCCTGCGTGCGGGGATATGGCGACCACGCAGCCCCTGCGTGCGGGGATATGGCGACCACGCAGCCCCTGCGTGCGGGGATATGGCGACCACGCAGTCGCTGCATGCGTGGCCTGCGTGCAAGTATTCCACCAAATTTACTTGATCACTTTTTTCTCTCACTATAGTGGAGAGAATAAATATGAACTTCAAATAAATCTCTTGCCCCAGCATGTTCACAGGTTCGTATACCGAAGGTTTCTTGGAGGATGCCGTAAAATAATAAATAATCCATACAATACTAAATATATGTCCAGCCAAACGTGTCGCAAGGCGTCGTCCGAAGCCTGGAACTTCGTTGGCTGAATTTGCAATTTTTTATCCAATTATCGGATGCGGCCTCAGTCGCTACCTCCATCCCTCCCTTTCCCCAACCCTCGTCCCCAGCGTGACTTGCATATTGTCCTCGCAGGGCATCACTCCCCACACTAAGTCCTCACTACAAACCATCTCCCTCAACAGTCTGGAGCAAACTCTTCCTCCAAGGGTCTCCACCAAACTCCTTCACCGAACGTTTGCTGGTTGATGGCAGATTGATTATTTTCTGCGGAGTTTTCAATGATAACGCGCATGCTTTGAAATCCAATTTTGCGTGAGAAAATGCGCAGGCTTGGCCGCAAAAACTGGCGCTACCGTGAGAAGCTGAGCTTCTCCACGCATGGCAGTAACGAAATAAATTTGGGCGAGTACAGTTATGAGGAATATGTTGATATAATATAACTTTGTGTAGTAGAAAACTATGAGGCAGTACAGAATGAACAATAAAGTAATGCTCTTCGCGGTTGCTGACCGCAGCCTCTCAGCCTTAAGCTGGGCTAGCAGCAATTATTAAACTTACTCCCATATTACTTTTTTACGGCTCAAGGATTATTCTCAGCTTCGTGAATACATCGAGGGAACTTGTTCTCTTCCGGCGGATGTCTTGACTATGACCAGAAGGGCTAGATTCTGGCTTAGGAGTAGTGTTTCTGCCTCACGAGTAGCGTCCGCCTCTGACAAAAGAGAAGTCTCACTCTAATTCTTGAGTAGAATCTGACTCTAGTTTTAGAGTAGAGTGACTCTAGAGTAGAAGTGAAGCCTCTCTGACTCCGAACTGAAGTAATTGTATTTGACGAACTTAATTGCTTTAGATTCCTTTCGATTGTCATTCTTATTCATCCGTACGATAATGCTTTGTGGAAAGTGATCGTTTGGTCTCTATAGTTGGTGCAGCAGCCACTGCAACAAGGTGAAAGAAATAGCAAAACATAAGCAACAACCGCGACGCTACAGAAACAGAAAGTAACAGCAAAAGTTACACGAGAAGAGAAAAATAAAGACACAGGCAGTGGCTACAGGACAATAGAAACAAAGAACAGCAGCAACAGATACGACTATAAGCCCAGCCGTGGTTGGAGCAGGAGCTGGTATTTATATGTAGCATTCACACGATAGCTTCCATAGATGCGACTCAACCTGAGTCCGTACTATTAAAACTCGCTTAATTACACGTTGTGGACCATATACGCGGTAGCGGCCAATTTCGTGGCAGTGATCGGTTGGTTTAGCTTGAAAACCCGTCAGTGATTGACTGACGGAACTACGAGGGATATTCGGAAAGTAGTACCCGTTTGGGAATTGAACAAAACGTAAATATTAAATAAATATTAACTAATGTAATAAATATTAAATATTAACTAATGTAAACATGTTTATTAAAAAGAACATGTATTGCACTACTTCTTTACATAATCTCCGGACAAATTTAAGCATTTGATGTATCGTGTCACGAGTTTTTGTATAACAGTGTCATATGACTCCGCCGCCAGTGTTTCTGGGATCGGCAAGGTGTACTGCTCACCGATTTCATGACCCGTGGAGACACAATCAATGCCAATTTGCATATTGTGCAACATTAAAAAAAATTACGACGGGCAATTCAAAATCAACGGCGAGGTCTGTTGTCTACTGGCGTAAAATTGCATGGAAGCATCCACATTGGAGCGTCACGAGTAACGAAGCGACAGCCAATGTTACTTCCGGGGTATAACACTTGACGTACGTCGTCCAACGTCTCCCCCCGGGGTATAACATTTGACGACAGTCCCTGTCACCCCCCGGGGTATAACATTTGACGACAGTCCCTGTCACCCCCCGGGGTATAACATTTGACGACAGTCCCTGTCACCCCCCGGCGTATAACATTTGACATCTTCCAGTGAAAGTCCCACGCTTCGACTGCGTGAAGACAAAGCTCTGTCTTGTACCACATGCTGGACGTACAACACTAGAGACCAACAAATGTTCTCGGTAAACTATGAACTCATTGACCTCGGTGTACATTAGACGACCTTGTGACCTCAATGTACAGTCGATGTACT